AAGAAACCGCAGGCGGCTTTTAGGAACCAAGAGTGGCACCAGCTGACAGCCAGGAAGAAAACAGGGGCCTCTGTCCTTTAACCACAGGGAACTGGGTTCTGCCCGCCATCACGTGATTATGGCAGCGGACACTGAGCTCCAGAAAGGAACACGGCCCAGCCAACACCTTGACTGTAGCGTTGAGAGACCCTGGGCGGAGAACCCAGGTGAGGCATGCCTGGACTCCGGGCCCAGGGAGACTGTGAAATCGTAAATGCATGTTTTCAGCCATTAAGTGGGCGGCAGTATGTTACAAAGGAATAGACAACCAATACATGAGCATATAGGTATAGGTGTTTTCAAAACCCTGGAACCAAGATGGCTCAAATAGCGCAGACCAGCGGCCTGACCCAGAGATGAATCAGAGCGCACGAATGGTGGGGGATTGGAGTGGGACACACCCTGCACCCTCGTGCCACCACCCTAGCCCCCGCCCGCTCCGCCATACTTCCTACCCCTTTCAGCCGCTAGGGGTCCCCAGAGTCCACTTAAGCAGGTCTCTCCCCACCTTTCGCAGGTCAGAATCCATTTCCTTCTGAGATGGGAGGAACCAAAGTAACAATAAACGGTCTTTCGATTCCCATTCCCCCTCCCCCACGTCACCTGGGGGAAACTAAGGCCTGCAAAGGGGAGGAGCTTTGCCCAAGACCCGCAGTGCTCTAGCACTGTCTCCGGCCAGGCCTTTTACCCCGCCTTACCCCTCCGAGGGCATTCTGAAGGACGCGGGCCTTGAGCCTCCTTCTCTCCAGCTGAGGCCTGCGGAGCGACTGCGAATCACAATGACAATGGCAGAGAGCTCGGGCGTGACTCTTGGGCTAAGGCTGGAGTTTCTGATTGATGCCAACTGGAAAGGGTGGAAAGGGCGCAGCCCGGAGGTTGGGGCTGACTATATGGATGGAGAAGAGACCCCTCCCGAAGGCGAGGGATTCAGAGGTGCTTCGCTGTGACTGCTTGGCCAGTGACCCCCTGCCCTTTGTCCAGCCCCTTCCACCCTCCGCCGCCGACTAGGTTCTCCACAAGCAGACACTGAGACTGAGTTTGGGGTGCAAGATATTTATTAGGGATAAACACCTGTGAAAAGAAGAGGGGCGCAGCAGGATTGGGTACAGGAAGGAAGTCAAACTGCGCTGCTGGCCTGGCAAAGCCTCAGCCACCCTGGGAGGGCCCTGGTGTATTGGGGGGGGTGCCCCTGACTGTGTAATGCAACCTTGAACTAAAGCGGCAGGCCTTTCTGCCTGTTCTCACTCAGACTCCAGATGCAGGGTGCCCTGGGAGAAGCAGCTCTCTTCCACACTTTCTCAACTCTTTCTTACAGGTTTCATTTTGTTTGTGGCCATCTTGCTTCCAATCACAGAGACTAAGAGGAAGCACTCAACAGTCATTCCTGCAGCCCCAGGGCCTCTTTCTATAGGTGCCCAGTCCTCCCAAACCTGCTCTAGTCCTCTTTTAAAGCATCTATGAGTGTCCCAGTCCCCCAAACCCCCTCTGAATGAGGTCTTCACACTTGGCCTTGATTCTTACTGGAGAAACAGGCTTTGTCCAACCTTAGGAATACACCAGATCTGTCTGGTAGGAAGAATTAGGGGTACAGGGGTCAGGGGTTAAGAAGTTTGGAAATGCCTTGGCCTCAAATTTCCAAAATACAGTGGTAAGAATCAATCTCAAGGACAGGAATCGCTGTGGTTTCTGCTGCTCCACACCATCTATACCGGGGGCAGTTACGTGCCAGGCACTGGGACTAACCCCATTATGCCAGACCCTGAGCAGACAGTCTAGCATGATCTGTAGACCCAAACAGGGAGGGAGAGGCAGCACCCTGAAGTCACACTTCACCAGGAGACACAACCAAACTTTAGGGCCCTATGTCTGACCTTGGCTCTTTGGAGGCCCTTTACAAGTTTCCTCCTCTGAAAAAAATGGAGTAATACAATTTATGAAGCACATGTTAGGTGCTTCTCATCTCACACATCATTTTACTCTGTGAAGCAGATATTATCATCCCCATGTTAACACATATGGAAAGAAGAGTCAGGATCAAGTTAACTTGCTCACGGTCACACAGGTGCTCAGTGGTGGAGCCAGGCTTTGAGCCCAGATATTGTGGCCTAACCCTGCTTCTTAATCCTCCTTTAGGGCAGGGTCAAACTGGCCCCCTTGTACCAGGTGTGCCTGCACAATTGTTTCATTTGGTCCACAAGGATGTAACAATATTTGAGTCAGCTTTCATTTTGAAATTGAGACATTCACAGAAACATCCAGGTTTCCACCTTCTCTTGAAAAACCTAGCCCCCTGGCCTCAGTGTCACATTCCCACAGGGTCACAACTGGCAGGTGAGCAGCTGCTCCCTTGTAAGTGGCTCATGAAGACAATGTCTACCCAGGCTCTCTCATTCATTTCTGTTACCTGCCTGGCCTCTGTGGGGATGAGTCAGCCAACCTTAGCGAAGGCCAGGGAATCCTAAGATAGAGGGTACAGAGAGGCCTAGAGGGGCGGGTGCCTTCTTGCCCTGGAACCCCCAGCTCTTTCTGCATGATTTTAAATCACACGGACTTGAATCTGCCAAACTGGGGAGGGTTGAGGAAAGGCACAGACATGTAGAACCACAGGGCGAGATGGGGCAAATACACTTTATTCAGTCCTGGCAGAAGTCCTGCTGTGGGGCCAGTGCCCCAGATCAGAGGGACCCCTCCCCTCAGCTACAAGACTAGTTCTCCAAGACCACAGACAGTGACATCTTTTCACTCACATGACGTTTTCGGGATTTTTCATTGTCTTTTTTGTTTTTCTTAAAAAAAAAAGAGAGAGAGAGAGAGAAAGAGAGCGCGCGCGCGTGCGCGCGAAAAGGCCCAGAGCCGGAGCACCAAGCTTAAAGGAGGCAGCTGGTGGCTTTGTCAGCGACGGGAACGCGTGGGGCAGAGACCTGCAGAGACCCTGGGCAGGGGTCCCGGAGGACTCTGGGACCGTTTGTTCCTGAGATTTGTGTGTGTGTGAATGAGAGTGTGTGCACACCCGGGAGGGTGGACACACGCCGGTGAGATACAGGTAGTGAGGGCAAAGGGGGCGTGGGGAGGCCGGAGGGGCAGGGCTTGAACAGGGAGCTGGAGTATGAGAGGTAACAGCATCAGGGGCAGGGTTTCGGAGAGCACCCCGAACTGGACATATCTTCCTCCTATAGCAGCGCTAGGCGCAAATGGCCCACCACTACTCTGACACTCCCTTCAGTCTCACTGGCCCAGTCGATGGTCTCTCTCAAGCTGGGTACTTTAAAGTGGGGCTCTTCTTGTTACTCCATCGGTACTATCATACCTCAGTCTCAACCTCCCAGTACCAATGTGTCTCAGATTCTCCCACTGAATACTGTCACTGGAGGCAGAGGGACCTGGGTGAAAGTAAGGGGCTTGGGAAAGAAGCCCAAGCGGGGAATGTGCCCTGATACGATACGGCACTTCCGGGGGGTGGGGAGCAAAAGGACCCTGTCCCCAAACGAACTGCTACATGTCCCAGTTCTAAGTTTTCTTTTCCTCTCGTGAAGGGTTTTCCCGAGAAAGACCCCCATTCCCAGGTGAGGGAAAGAAAGGGACGTTTCTGGGAACCAAGATAGGCTGTAGAGGCAGTCAAGCAGTCGGTGTGTGGGGGTGGAGGTGCACGTGGGTCTGGGAGACCCCGTAAGGTAAAAGGGGCTATGCCACTTGGGAGAGTTCCAAGCTCCAAACCAACCCTTTCGGGCCGGCTAGTCTCTTTCTCCCCCTTCCGAGTGCTCCTCCCATTAAGGCAGTGACGCCCCGTCGGGCTGAAAGGAAGCCGTGGCTCCTGGATCAAAAGATTTCTCAGGATCGCTCTATATCCGCCCCCCTTCTTCCCGGAGCGACTGACAGGCGTGCGGTTCGTCCCGGACCAGCCCCCTCCTCCCAAGAAGCATTAAGCATGCGCGAGAAGGGGGCGGGTCCCAGCGCTCCAGGGGGAAAAAGGAGCATGCCCCTCCCCCTCCCCGAGAGGGAGGGGCATGGGAGGAGGGCGCGGGGCCGCCCAGCTGCAGCGCCCCCCTAAACAAGGGAAGAGGCCGGCTAGGCGAAGGCGGAGGGAGTCCGGAGCAAGGGCAGGGGCGTGTCCTCCGGCCACGAGGAGGGGCGTGTGCAAAATGGGGGAGGGGTACAGGTCTCTAGAAGAGGACGTGAGGTGTATCGGAGGGGGGCTGGCTGCTGGTGGCTGTGCGGGAGGGGGCAAGATGGGGGAGGAGCTTGGATGGTCGGGGAAAGGAGTGGGGGTTGGGCTGGCCTTGGGGTGTGTCTGCG